ATTGTCTCTCTCTCTCTCTCTCTCTCTCTCTCTCTCTCTCTTCTCTCTCTCTCTGTCTCTCTCTCTCTTCCCCTTTGCGGCAGCCTCGTTTACTTACGTTTTCCGTTGGACTCCATGCGAGCCGTCATGTTCACTGTGTCTCCAAACAGACAGTATCGAGGCATGATGAGTCCGACGACTCCAGCTACCACGGGTCCCGTGTGCAGACCTATTCACAGAGAGAAACACGCGTACGGCTAACAGTGTAGACATAGACCCAGAGAGAAACACAGCTAACGAGAAGAAAAAATCAATAGTAGGCAACTCTCGTGAGGTCATCGATACCTGTCCCCAGATCGAAATTTGCCAATTTCCGTAACGATATTCCATATAGGCCTATATGATTTCAATATCATATCCACAAATCCCGTTTTCCCGGGGAACTACTCCCGAATAATTTTGTGCGTTGTGTTTATGAATGAGATCAATTCGAATCAACCTGGAGTTACAGTACTCCGAAATACTTTTATTGACGCAAGCTTAGAGTTTAGCAATCAGTTTACTAAAGCCATCTAGAGCTTGTCTATTAACTTTTTTAACTAATATGTTAACTCCAAAATATAATTCATAAGTGTTAATACAGTAAATTGAATTGAATTGAATTGAATTGAATAGAGCGTATAACCTCTTATTTTATAACGTTCTAGGGGGAAATCGACATAGATGGTGTACGTCGTCAGCCTCTCATCGTAAGACGTATTCAGAGAAATCGTAGCCCGCATGTAACCTTATACCGACTACGACTTTTATATACTTACCGATACGAAGCTGTAAGCGCATGTTGGGTCGATGCCGGATCAGGAAATTCATGCTCGAACCGAGCACATCAAGGGCGACGTTAGCTATCTCCGCCACGTGACGTACGCCGTTACGTATTGGCACGCCACTGACGACCATGTAGGCATCTCCTATAGTCTCTACCTGCGCTACGGTAAGCCACACATATACACGGGGTTCGCGTTATCGAGTCACCCGAAGACGTAAAATCGTCTTAAAAAAGTCCTAATCTTACACTATCCCTAACCTTAACCGTCCCCTAACGCTAACCCTAACCATAACCCTAACCCCTAACCCCTTACCCTAGCCCTAATCCTAACCCTAACCCTAACCTTTTTTGGGCACTGTTTGGGAACATGTGTAGACACGCCCACCTTATAAACGTCGTGATTAGCAATGATGTCATCAAAACATGTGTAGACACGCCCACCTTATAAACGTCATGGTTAGCAATGATGTCATCAAAACATGTGTAGAGGCCGTTTAGGAAATCAACGATCTGGAGAGGGCTGCTCTCCGCAGCTAGCTGTGAGAAGCCAGTTATGTCCGAGAAATACACGCTGGACTCTTCAAACGCCTCTGGCTGGACAGCTCTGCCGAGTTTGAGGTTATCGGCTAGGGAGCTGAAGCAAAAAGCAGTCAAACCCAGACCTAATCTCTCTGTCACGATTGACTCTCGTTTGTTTGCCTATTGAATAACATGTTAATGAGAAATTCAAGTAAGAATTTGATATAAAGGACATTGGCTGTAGGGGAATGGCCATATACACGTGGGATTCTACAACATATTCGTAACCGTACATACAAACGCCCTTTTAAACTTATAATCGGATAATGTAGAAACGTAAAAAAGTAAAATGATAATGTAAATAATCAGTTCGATGATTAGTGGAAGACGTGAGAACAATTTATTTTAAACATTTTTGGTACGATACATAACAATCTGTTGCACTTGGGAAAATCTTGAGAGCCCTAATGATAGCATCACTACAGCTTCATAGTTGGGGAAGTTGCTTGGGCGGCTTACGCGGGTAACATCCGGTAGATAAGTTTGTCGGTCTTTAGTTTCTCCTCGTTCAGCTGCTGAGTTCTCTCATCGATGATTTTTTCCAGATTGTTCGAATACTTCTCCATCATGCTCAATATCATGTCGATGATGATGATCCTACGAAGGAGAAATGTTTGTCAGGCATATATCATCCTCCAGTAGATGGATTCGTCTGCATTGCCCCTCACGTTTACCACTGCGTTTATCCTACCGCTCATCATCGCAGCAATATTCCTGGTAATAGCTTACATATTTATAACATGTAAGACTACTCTAGATGAAAAAAATAAAATAAAAATAAAATAAATTAATAACCATTGACTTACTCTCCGCCAGTGATATCTCGTAATGTTTTTCTCATGCTTGAAAAAGCTGGGCGTACTTCCGTGCTCTCACTCTAGCAGTTGCAGATCAACTCGCACATCTTCGGTGACACTTCGGAGAATCCATCGTCCGGGAGCGGAGGTCTGAATTGCTTCGCCTCTCCATTGCGCACTCTATTTATAGCGTCTGTAATCGAAATATATATACATATAGCCATGATGACTAACTACCACTCTTCTCTCACCCTCTCTCTCTCTCTCTCTCTCTCTCTCTCTCTCTCTCTCTCTCTCTCTTTCTCTCTGTGAGTGTGTGTGTGTGTGTGTGTGTGTGTGTGCGTGTGTGTGTGTGTGTGTGTGTGTGTGTGTGTGTGTGCTGCGTGCGTGTGTGTGTATGTGTGTGCTGCGTGTGTGTGTGTGTGTGTGTGTCGTGTGTGTGTGTGTGTGTGTGTGTGTGTGTATTTATCTCTGTCTCTCTATTTCTTTCTGTCACGCGCGGTCTATTTTTCTCCCCACTCTGTCTCTCGCTTTCTCTGTGTCTCTCTCCCTCCCTTCTCATGCACTCACTCCTCCTCGCTGTATTCTTGTCTAGCTTGCCTCGTTCTTCCACCTGCGTCGTTTTGCTTTATCTTGCCTAGTATTTTTTACTTGCTCTATCTTCCTATCTTTTTTTTCTCTTTCTCTTTCCTATTTCTCTCGCTCTCTCTTTCTCTCTCTCCTGTGTTATAGACTTTCTAGTTCCCATGAGCAGGATCCCCACGATATGACCTCGTGTAGTACGATGAATTACATAATCAATACAATTACATAACATATACCTCATGGAACCATGTTGTCGAAGTTGAATGCTGATTGTCGGCCACACACCTCGTAGGCGATGATGGCAAACGACGTCACCTCTCTGTGTGCTTTTTTGGATTTGGGAAATTTTCGCGCAGAATCTCAGGTGCGGTCAACTGTTTTCCTGGGATGTGTCATAAACAAATTTTCACGCTATCGCCTTACTATTTAAGAATACATGCTATATATATATATATATATTGTCCACTGTTTGCCTTGAAACATGAAAGCCAGGAAGTCACGAATCAACTCTTAATTACACTAAGCTAGGACCTACCGAACGCTAATTATTTTTTTCGTGGAATAAACACGCAGGCGAGCAACCTACGAAGAAACAAGTAGTTCTCGTTCTCCTCATGTTTCTGACCCATTCCGACCAGGAAGCTTTGCAGACCGTAGTCGGTGATCTTAACCGTCCAACGATTGTCTAGAAGACAGTTGGTCGACTTGAGGATTCTGTGGAATGCAGTTTGCTCTTGTGAAGGTATTTCATGCCACAGGCGATGTCATAGATCATCGATAGCTTGAAGGAGTTGTCCAGCTTAATGTTATTATTCTCTATAATGTCCTGATGAAATGAGTTCAATGCCCTAGAAGTATCAAATTTACCGCGTAATTCTACAAGTTATGGGATATATACAGCAGTACATAAATGAATAAAAAAAACACTAGAATATTTTTAGTTTGGGGTTCAATATTTTGTTTATGATCTAACGGTTGCAATTAAACGAAATATTTCTTTGATAGTTGTGTACTGCATTTAACTAAGAAACTAACTCGAGAAATGTTCACTGTCTTTGTTGTTATTGTCATTTTCAAGAATATTTAACCGATTGTTAACTAGGAACCTTTAAATAATGGCTGACCATTTTATAGTGGCTGACCATTTTATCCGCTTCCAATTGCTTACAATGCTGGCGGCGCCACTGTCTTGTAATATGTTTCCTTGCCACTAAGCTGCCCGTGTCACAATACTGTCAGATGATGGCGATGTTGGGTGGTTCGATGCATGCACCGATGAATGCATTCACATTCTCGTGGAGTAGGTCACGTATCTGTAAAATCATATTATTACTTTAAGTACTATATTATTAGCATATGTTTTTACTTGATATTATCACTTTTTATTATTATAGTAATTTGTAGCGTATATACATAATGTTTTTGAGTACAATATTATTGGTATATATATATATATATTGTTAGTTTTTATCATTACACTTGATTAATTGCTGCTGGGTTGAATTAGACGGATCAAGCACGGCGTTGTTAAAGGGTGTCGTGTTTCTTTCTAGTCAGCTTCGAATCTAGACGTTGTTACCAACGGATGCAACAGTTATCAGTTACAACCAATTACGTCTTCAAAATAATTTCTCGCCTATAATCTGGTTTGCATTGTCGTATACCGGATGCTCAAGCGTATATAAATAGTTTATTGCCGTTAGATGAAATCCGGCAGTACAGCGTTATGGAAGGTCGCCATGTTTTTTCAACGGCAGCTATATTTCTCGTCCGTAGGTTACTCTGTTTGTTCGAAAAAACATACTGTTTAAAAACGACCTCGTGAACATCATTCTTACACATTCGTTTACCGCAAAGAACTCCTTTAATACATTCCTGAAGACGTTAATGTGTTCCTTAGTGACGTTAATGTAATTAATATATATTAAAACACAAGACGCTACCGGTTAGGCCTATATACGATCTTGAGGAAGTTTGCTCATAGTAAAAGCATAATATTAGATCACTATTACTTATAATGATATTTAATTGCTTTTGCTTTATCAAAATCAATTATTATCACAGGAAAAGCTGTGGATAATTATGTAAAAGCAAAAGTAACGTTCAACCGAATGCTATCAATTCATTTGGCTGGTTGTTTACAATGTAGTTGGGTGAACATACATCAGAACCTGTCATTTTAGCATGTATTGGTTAAGCTGCTATATGACAGAAACCCGCTACGTAATTATCACACTCTTATTGCTGTCCTGAAGTAACTAACATTTCAGCTTATTCAGTTCTCGCAAAATTTGTAGTGAGCCGAATGTTTAAAATAGTCATAGCTTTATATCATAGATATGTTATTAATTGCAAGACTTATTAATATTATCGAGATGGCCAGAAATTGGGAGGGGGGCGGGTCGTCAGTTTGAAACCATTTGAACAGGGACCGTCGTATCTTTCTCTGCACACCTCTACGCACTTCCAGGCGCGTAGCTGCCTTTAGGCAAAAAGGCACGTGCCTGCACATCATTTTCCCAAAAAATGGTTAACTAAATTTATGTTAAAAAGAATAAATAATATACATAAACTAGAGCACTCGGAGAGCACAGACCTCCGCCAAGGCAGCTGAATTCTCTCAATGTAAATCTAATAAATAAATATATTATAAGTACAATAGAATAAATAAATATAAAATATAAATAATTATAGACAAATTAAATAGAATAACAATATTTAATATATATACACACTTCTCAACATATTAAGATATATTATGTACCGTTTTCCCGTTACGGTGGCGACTCTCCCACTGTTCGACCACTGGATTGTACAACGTGCACAAGACAACGAAACACAAGCTCAAAATGTTGAAAGTGTTTACGCCGGCAGAATAGGTCCGGGGTTTATATTCCGCTCTGGTAACCGACCAGAGTGCGGCATAAAACGGTACGAAATAGGTACTTCGCCAGCGTAAGGCCCGAGTATAGCGAACAAGAATTACAACTAGGCGCAAGGCTGTCCTTACCAATAACGATACTTGCTTCAGAGAAGACGGCAAGTCCTTGCAGAGAGATCGCTGGACTTGTTTTCGTGCTTATCTTTTCCGTGTGCTTCCTCTCCGACGGGCGGCGAATTCGGCTCCTGGTGATGCTCTATGCGCGGTTGCAACTAGCGTCCACCTGCCGGTGAACTGCAACTGAACTCAACCGGCTGAAATGACGAAAGCTGAGCTGCTAACTGAGCTTCTAAACTGTGACGGTGCTCTGGGGGCACGGTATTTATACGGCTCAGACGACAGGCACGTCACGCACACACGTGACACGCACGTCGGCTTCAGCGCCGTGTCACGTTAAGTCAGCTATTAGGTACGTGACCGCCCGCCGCTTTAGACGTGACAACGTGGGTCAGCTTCACCACGCTGACAAGCACGTCGGCTTCGGGACGTGATCGTACGCCCGCAATTCACCGGGAACGCCCGTCGGGCTTCGGACCGTAGACGCACGTCGGATTCGGGACGTGACGCACGTCCGCGATTCACCGTGACACCGTGTCCCCGTCGGCTTCGGACAAACGCTCGGTGGAATTTGAGCCAGCGACAGTTTAATTTGCGTAAGATTCTGTTCGCCCCCGTGCGGTGCTGCGAATGAGCCCGGCGCGGGTGCGAGATATCCCCGCCATTTTTCCTTTTGGGGGGGGTGGGTGGTGCATTGCTGTGTATCCCGATGGGCCGCCGGACGGAGAGTTCGAACGCGAGGGGATTATGTGACTGCTGCGGGTCACGCAGTAGCTTGCGTAAAATTTGTATATCTTTGATACCACCTCCGTCCTGCCTTCGAGGTCTCGCCCGCCGAGATTTCGACCAAATGGAGGGCGCTAATCGAACATTCGGCACGCAGCCACACAGTAGCGCATTGCCGTAGCTCACCGAGCCTGCGAGAGTAAGCTGCGGCTTTAATCGACCCACTATGCTTGGTCAGATCAGAACTGCCCAATCTGCCATCGGTACGGACATGCACTGTCAGGCTTAGGAAGGTTTCTTTAGGGATTTAGGGGTGTCGCAGATTTTTTTTTTTGGATTCGGTATTTCCTTCGGCGGAAGTTCTTTTCTGTGTGTCGTACTTTTGAATTTAAAGCTTTGCGTGCACAACCGCCGTTCCAGGTAGAGAAACGGAAATCCCATATTTTGCAGAGGCAAGAAGCCGCTAAAGTTATTTTGCTTCTTTCACACTTTCCAGGCGGTACCCTCCACGAACGATCGGAGGATATCCTAGGCCCCGTCCTGTGGCCGGATAATCGAGATTTGTAG